AAGTGAATTAATGATAATTTGTTTTCAGTCTTAACATTGCTGTTAAACTGCTCATCCATGTAATACTTGCAGTTATTTTCAGAGTTCTTAAAAAAGTTTTTTTCAGGGTCAAAATCTTCGTCCGGTTCATGATAATGTTGTTCGGTGTCTCCAATTGTGTTTAGTTCCAGATCCAGTCCCTCGAAAACTATTAACTTCTGTAACAAATCTCTTTTACTTTATAAATCGTCTTTGGTTAAGTGCAGATAGCAGCGTTATGTTGTTGCTTGTTTCCTCACTGGCCTGCAGCGAGCACACGAACCCAACAACAGCGAGTTTCATTTCAAGAATTCATGTTGGTTAGTAACAGCTGATATGACCCAGCTAGATGTCATTTTAACCAGAAATAACGGTGATCAGCACCAGCAAAAAACAGGAAGCTGCTCCCCAGAATGCTTTTTCTACTGAGCTTTTTTGGAACACTCGCACTGGTGCATCTACATAATATCTTGGTGGTAGGGGTTTGACCATATTTCTCGTCAAGGTGAAAAGTACATAACAGAACCAGAGCAACAGCCAGCATAATGGAGTGTGATGGTACGTTTATATTAGTACAGCAAAAACACAACTCCCTGCTGCATGAGGCTGCTTTGGTCAGGGGGTGAGGGGTTGCAGGGGGAGTCTGGGTGTGTACGATATGGTCACGTTATGACAAGTTGACATGAGTGGCTTCATTCACATTTCCAGCTCATGAGTTTCGTCGTGTTTTGCTTGGCTATGCTGCTAATGTAGCCTACTCTACCTTAGCATCAATTCTACCATGAGACTGTGATAGATAAAAAAAAGTTTAACATCCAGTACTAATGAACATGCATGGTGTGTCACTCTGGTGCATTAATTGTGGTCCAAATTCATCAGTGAATAGCACTGAATGCTCATGCCAACAAGGTAAACAAAAGAATCTTCTTCCTGTGGGCGTCCATGTCCAGATTGTCCCTCATATGTGACTGGTCAATGCAGCACTTTTGCCAGATAATGTCACCGTCTGGTGTATTGAGGGTGAAAATAGAATAGAAGGCCACACACAACTTCAATTAGATGTTACAAGCTCATGCACAGTTCTAAAGTCTGAAGAGTCTCATGTGAAACCACACAGTGCTTGCATATTGTTGTCTTTTATTGCATATGATAATTCAAACTCAGAAAGTAGAACTGAACTGACAATATTACAAGAGGATTACAGTTAAAATATTTCAAAATGCACCTGCATTATTTTGCATTTTGTGACTTTCAGTTGGATAATAGACCAGTCATATATTATATATTATATATTATATATTTGCAGTCATATTTTGTCATTGAAAATTTCTTTAAAAAGTGTCAAAATATCGTCTCGCCTGTTAAGTATACTGTCACACCCCTCATGTCTGCTCACACATTACTTTTGCTCTTGAAGCTGACATACTCTTCTTCTTCTTCTTCTTCTTTAGGTTTAAAAGCAGCTGACAAGCCGCATGCACCCTCACTCCCCCCCCAAAAAACAGCAAGAATCACGTGGGTGAACAATTTAGGCATAACAGCAATTTTTCTCTTTCTACCTGGAGATCTTTTAATTACATCATTTTGTTGCACCCTCTCCTCCTGCAATGGTTTATTGGCACCTGACTGAAAAATACACGAGTTAGCTGTTTATCTCAATGATGCGAATAAGTCTATATATCAGGTTTGCTTAAAATACCTGGTGAATAATTAGCATCAAAAGAGCGTAGCAGTGGCAGGTGGCCTACATAAAAATAAGTTAGTGGGAGCATTAAAATCGGTGTGAGTGCTCAAATTGTTTTTCTCTACTAGTATTATTCCTTGGCTTACAAAACTGCTGCAAAGAAGTTTGTTTGGGGAGGTGCATCTAATATTTTAACTATAATTAGTTGTAGCAACGTAGTGGAATAAGGAAGAATGAAGGAAAAGTCACCGTCTAACCCTATGACCATTCTCCTGTCTTGTGTGTGAATGTTAACTGTGTGAAAGGAAAGAAGCGCTTGGAAGAAGTTGAGAACAACTACATTTGTTAAGGGCATTTCGTGCAGTGCAGATTACAGAAAGCAGACCACATCTGCCTGCACATAGGATCTGTTATATGAAACCAGCCTGGAAAGATGATACCTGAAACTTAAATGACAGTCTGTTCACTAAGAGTCCCTAATGGCATTTATATATTTTTTTTTAAAATAATATACTAGTGTTAATGGCTTGGCATTGCTGTTCAGTCCAACCTTTGGGCAGTCTCTGTTGAGGGTCTACTTAGAATCAAAGTAAGTGATTACAGAATTACAGAAAGTAGGTCAAACTACATCTGAACAACTATCAGCTGATAACGTGAAGATTAAACTGCCTAAAAACCAGGGTCTCAGTCACATTGTTTATGTAACCCCACTTTGATTTAAAATGACAAAATGGCTATATATTGGCATAAAACACTGCCTAACACAACCTTAACATGAAGAAAATTCTGACTTACGACTTGATTAAAAAACAGGGTGGCGATGGCAAGACACCCACTTACATTTTTCGTCCACCGTTTGACTCCTTCATAGCCCTTTGTCCTTAGCTTATCATAAAAGAAGCTGTTGAAAAAGTGAACCTGAAGAAAAGAACAGAGAAAAGTAAGAATTATGGCAGAAGATACTTGTCATCAGAGACTTATGCAAATATGTGACACGTCATCATCACAGACAACTGAACAGCTCAATCACTGTCTAATAGTGAACATTTTGAAATAAAAGCAAAAAGGTGAACTATATTTGAAGATGATGTTACTTGAAATAACTGAAACCAGTTGTATTACTTTTAGTTCCCAGTAGGAACAAGAGGTTTTTGTAATTTCTTTGTCAAAAAAGCCAAATTATATTGACCATGATTGACTTATAAAATCAATAAAAGGGTAAAACATCCAAGGGGGTGAATATTTTTTTATAGGCACTGTACTTCACAGGACTGACTGTGGAAGTCCATACGCTAACATTAGCTGTATCACTGTCATATTTCCTGAATATGATTCAGTCCAATATACCAGAGCTGTTGTGAACAGAAGAGCCATGTGATCAAACCTTATGAGAGTTCTATCTATACATACACAATTTTGGTCAATATTTAACTATACGACAAAAGACATCCAATTCAGGAGAGGTGCTTGTTCTGACAACTTAGTGGTCTAAAATGCATATCCTATGACTGCCAAGTACATCAGTTCAAATCCTGAAGATAATCTTTGGGGACCTCCTGCTTCATTCTACTGTCTCATACACATGACACGTGTGCTTTGCATGCTGTGTGAGACTTACATGTAAAACTGTGGGGTTGGAACCTGTAAAATGCAGCTTGCTGCTTTATTTGACTTTAATTGCTACTGTGCTTCAGACTCCAGAAACACTGAATTAACATTTCAAACATAACTCATCCTTTAGAGCCCTCCTTACCTCCTAAATACCCACATCTCTGAAATCTCACAACCCCAGTTTGTGAAATGGGCTTCCTCTCAAGAATCTGATGTCTCAAGCCAATGCTGTAAGAGCCCTCATGGCATCGCGTGGGGTATGTTTCACACTTTGGAAAGTTCCCTTCAGAGCAGTATAAGACATACTACTGTTTTCACAGTAGTAGTACTCCAAATGATGAAATAACTGAACTCCATCTGTAAAATTAGTGTGAGGATCCTTTAAGAGGTCACTGGTGTTTTTTTTTTTATTTCCTTACCTTCTCTGGCACAGAGTCCATGACCAGGTCACCATACATGTTCATTACCTGGAAGGGAGAAAAACAACATTGCAGTCTGCCTGCAAAGTCCATCCCTTTGTAGAAGGACACAGCCCGTGAATAGAGACATACTGTAGCTTTGGTGTGGAAAAATTATTTTTGTTGACTTGAAATTAAACAGTTACTGCTTTCACAGTAAACCATGGTAAAAATTCCAACTGTGTCACCATTTTACATTTTAATTATCATTACAACTCTCTTCTAAATGGTAAAAAAAAAAAAAAAAAAAATCCAGAGCCAAAGTTAGCAAAAGTCAGCCAGACACAGGTGAGGTCTGCAGAACATGCACAAAGAAAATCACCACAAAAGAGGACAACACTTTATAGTGAATGCAAAGTACGTTAACTTTTAGCTCCATGCAAGATGTAGACACTTTGGAATGGGGGAAACATCATGGTTTTTCTGTTTAACTTGCTAATAGCTTGTCATTAATGTAAACCGAAGCTTTCAGTGCCATTTGCCCTTATAAAAACTAAACATGTTCTGCTGCTGTATGGGTCCTGTCTGCAGACTCTATTCAACCACTGCATATGATAATACTTTATATAGTTTAGTCACCAAACAACATATTTTGCTAATTTATAGGCCGACATTCGTCAACTTGGTTGCGAAAGGAGAAACACTATACTCTTACACTATACTTTTACATAAATGCATGAGGCTGTTAATATGATATATAACTGTATAACTTCTTCTACTACTGGTGCCAACATGCACACTAACACGCTTTAGTTATATAGCATGTGATAGTTATACGGTCATGTCTAAAAACATTGACACCCCTGCATTTCTGTCAGATAACACACCACTTCTCACAGGAAATGTTGCAATCGCAAATTCTTTGTTATTCTCATGTTTATTTCATATGTTTGCATTAGAGAAAAAGCAGAGAAAAAACAACTCAACATTTGTGTTGTGTGGACCACACTGAGAAAAAAAAAGAAGAGCAAAGAATTGTGTGAGGATTTGAGAACCATATTAACAGATGACAAATTGCAATGAAGGATTGTTCGTATGGTGAATAAAGAACTTCGATCAACTTCCAGACAAATTCGATCTGACACTGTTGCATCCTGTGCCTGCACGATCCATCACCATTTAAATGACAAGGGACACTATGGTAGGAGACCCAGACCCCACTGCTGACACAGGAAAATAAAAAAACCAGACTGGAGTTTGCCTAAATTTACCTGAGGAAGCCACAGTCCTTCTGGGAGAATGTCCCGTGGACAGATGAGACTAAAATAGAGCTTTTTGGTCGAGCACATCATTCCGCTGTTTTCAGAAAACTAGTGTTGCACGATATACCGGTACTAGTATGGTACCGCGGTACTGAGGCATTTAAAATGGTACTATACTGCATTTGGATGGGACCGGTACTTGCAGTGCCGCCGGCAGCGCCCACCCGCAACAGAGGAAAACAGAGCAGGAAACGGCTTCCTCGTCCTCTGCTCACTGAGCAGCGTGGACTGGAGCAACAAACGAAGCAAGAGGAAAGCTTGGAGAGAGCAGAGACGTTGGAGAGGGAGAGAGCGAGAGAGAGAGAGAGGAGCACGGAGAGGAGAATGGCTGCTGTAACAGAGGGAGAGAGAGAGAGAGAGAGAGAGAGAGGAGCACGGAGAGGAGAATGGCTGCTGTAACAGTCACCACTTGTAGACAAACGAGGGGCGCGAAGTGCTATATGGCAGTACTTCGGCATAAAAAACAAATGAGCAAGGAGAGGCAATTAACGTTGATGCGCCATTGTGTAAACGATGTTTTAAAACATGCATGGCTAAGGGCGGAAACACCTCCAACTTAGCCAAACACCTACAGGACAAGCACCCAGACCTGCACACTAAGTTCAGGGAAGGACAGGTAATTTACTCATGACATGTCCTTTTCAAATGCAATAGTTCAATAGTTTTAAGTGTGCAACACATGATAAAGAGTTCTTATCAAACAGACATTTTTTTCTAAATTTTAATAAAAAAAAATGTGTTTTTTCAAAACGTTAAATGTGGTTACAGCACAGTCCTTCTGTGTTTTACATACATATTTAGCCATTTAATATGTTATAAAGACTGGTAACATACCATTTAAAGTCTGATCTTCCCATCCTGGCTCAGTTTGCACGACAATATATGTGCATTTCAGTATCACGCTGTGCATCAGAACGTGTCTTCAGCACATCTGGAAATATCTGTAGTCCAAGGCGTTCTAGATTGAGTGAGGAACATCTAGACATTTTGGTTTTCTTGGCCAAGAATCTCAACAAGACAAAAAGCCTGAGTCAGACTCAGTAGATAGTCTACTCCAAAAGAATCAGCCACCCAATAGTAGGCAAGAGAGGGAGTAAGGAGAAGGGACATAATGTTGATAGGAAAATAAGAGATTTTGCTGCTACAGTTGCTAGCTTATTTTAATTTCAAATAATTTTATTTGTTCTAATTGTTCTAAGTTAGAACTTCTAACTTCATACTTTTTATTTACTCACACTGACTGTTCTAAAAAAATTTTTTTTGAGTGCAATAAAAAAAGCATAGTATTTTGAATTTTATTTTGATGTTATTCTAAGATTTTCTATTAAAATAAAGTCAGTAATGACATTGTTTGCATTCTCTTTTTATCTGAAAAACTACCCAAAAGTATCGAAAGTATCGAAATACATTTTGGTACCG